TAAATTTTTTTTTGGCCCAACTTCGTGTATTTTTATCATAAAGCGAGGTGTCTTTGGGGTTTAATAAAATGTTTTTTTATTTTATTTAAGAGTTCCAGATTGATTAAGGCCTTCCCTTGCTTTGCTATTGGAAGATTAGTTATATACTTTTCCAAGATTTGGTCAAGGATGCTTCTACTAATAAATGTATACTCTATTTGGTAGGTATTACGGGAGAAAAAAAGGCAGCAGCCAATGAAAACAGTTAAGATCAAAGAAAAAATAAATGATAAGCAGGCCACGTCCAATATATTAGTGGGTACCAAGAGCAAATCCAATGTCCAATGTATTAGTGGGCACCAAGAAGAATCCAACGTCCAATATATTATTAGCACCAAGAACAAACCCAACGTTCAATATATTAGTAGGCACCAAGAATGAATCCAACGTCTAATATATTAGTGGGCAACAAGAATCTAACGTCCAATATATTAGTGGGCACCAAGAATGAATCCAACGTCCAATATATTAATGGGCACCAAGAATGAATCCAACGTCTAATATATTAGTGGCAACAAAAATCCAACATCCAATGTATTAGTGGGCACCAAGAATGAATCCAACGTCCAATATATTAATGAGAACCAAGAATTAATCCAATGTCCAATGTATTATTAGTGAGCACAAAGAACAAACCTAACGTCCAATATATTAGTGGGCACCAAGAACAAACCCAACGTCCAATATATTAGTGGGCACCAAGAATGAATCCAATGTCCAATGTATTAGTGGGTACCAAGAACAAACCCAACGTCCAATATATTAGTGGGAACCAAGAATGAATCCAATATCCAATGTATTATTACACCAAGAACAAACCCAACGTCCAATATATTAGTAGGCACCAAGAATGAATTCAACATCCAATATATTAGTGGGTAACAAGAATCCAACATCCAATGTATTAGTGGGCACCAAGAATTAATCCAGCGTCCAATGTATTAGTGGGCACCAAGAATGAATCCAATGTCTAATATATTATTAGTGGGCACAAAGAACAAACCTAACGTCCAATATATTAGTGGGCACCAAGAATGAATCCAACGTCTAATGTTTTAGTGGGCACCAAGAATTAAGGCAACGTGGAACCAAGAACCAACCAACCAACAAGAAATAAAAAAAAAAGTATGCCAGCCATTAAAGGTAAAACAAACCATCATACAAAAAAAAAAAAATCAAGATAAGAGCAAAAAAGCTTTTTATGCTCTTATTCGTAATAACGTTATTACTACATCTTTTGTAATGACATTATTATATTTTTTGAAAATTTTAAAGATCTTGCGTCAGATTACAGCTAACGCATGTCAGGTAACCGATCGACAGGTAATGCGTGTCACCTGAAAATCGGCATCTGACGTGCGTCGGATTGCATCCGACGCAAGGATGCATCTGAGGCACAACATATACAAAGGATGGAAAGGGGGAACAAGATATATTAGATGTGATGATTTGATAGTATATGGTTACCATTCTGACGAACCAAAATGGGCATTTGTAAGATATATGTATGGCGTAATTTCAAAATATCCAAGAGCGCCATATTATAAGAATATTCGGTTTAGCTATATTTCTCCTGAAAGGATTCCAAACGTGAAATCATTCTCACCAGAAAGGAGCACTATTATTATTTTTGAGGATTTGTGTGTTGCCCCAGAGTATATACAAAATCAAATTATACCTTTCTTTACTCACGGGCGTCACAGGAACATTTCACCTATTTATGTAACACAACATTATCATAAAGTTCCCATTATTATTCGAGAAAATGTCTCCCATTTAGTGATATTTAATGGTGGTAGTAGCGCTCACGATATCTCCAAAATTGTTGGACGATATACTGATGATGTAAAGGGTGTATCCATGGTTATTAATAGCTACCTCCGTAAAGGTGAGTTTGTTGTATTTGATCTCAGTAGGCCGGAGGATGATCCTCTTGCCATTCGACTAAGGTTTGACACACTATTGAACCTACAAAAAGAGATAGAGGCAAGGCAGAAGCGAAAGGAAAAAAATGCCTCAGCTAATTCATAAAACTTTTTACTATACTCTCACAAGTTCAGAGATGCAGAAATTGATTACCTTTGACACATCTATAACTGATAGTAGTTTGCATGCGATGTGTACTCCAAAAAGGCATCCAAGTAGATAGACTCAATTAAATATATTTATTCGTTATATACTGTAGTCCCTCACCGTTTTCCTAATGCTATTCTTGAGATCACAATTAGGAAATAAAATTTATACATTAATATTTACCACTGACTTTTCACAATTCTTGCTCAAAGTCAGAAAATAAAGTTACTTCACTTCAGTGAAGGCTTGCGAGAAAAAACTAGATCACTATATTTTGTTTTTTGAACTTGCGAGAAAAACTGATATATGCAAGAAAAAAATAAAAATCTATGAAGTGTATAATAATAATTACTTACATTTTTTTTTGTTTTCAGCTACAAATTTGAATCGTGATATTCCGTAATATAGGTTGATAAAGAATTGCTAAAAACGCTATAAATTGCTAAAAAATGCTATAAATCACTAGAGTCAGCTATAAACTATAAAGAGTAAAAAAAATGGTTAAAACTAACTTCTATTCTAGTTTAAATCTTGGAGTAGTGCAGGCGTTAAACAATCTGCAATATAGTTATAGCGATGAAACACCAGAAATGTGGTGTTCTCGTATTCGTTGTCCATTTAAAAAACTTCTCGAATATAACTCAAAATACTTCTCCAAGAATGGATTCATTCAAATGATTGAAAGAGCATATGAAGAGTATTCAGTTTATATTTATTGCACTGTATGCGACTCCTTAGTAATTATCCGCAAAAATACAATCGAATGTGCAAATGATCACCTAAAGAAATGTATTACTGAAACTACTAATATGCATTCTAATCCTGTACGAAAGAATATGAAAAAAGAGGAGGGAGCATCATCACTTAGCATTGATATTGTTGATAAGATATATGAGAGATATTATTTTATGTACAGTAAAGGCTTGAGCTATTATGATTATAAACATTCAAATAAAAATGAACTTAAAAAAAGGATTGTAGTTCGCATAATTAACAGTGTAACGGTTCTTCAACAGGCTTGGAGGACTTACAAGTTGAGACCCAAGACATGGGCAAGTCGAGTTTGGAATATAGTGAGAAATGATAATACTCCTAACAAGAAGAAGTTTTTAGATATAACTCCTCGTCGTATAAGAATTCCTGATAATCGATATGTAGATTATTTTGGCCAAAAAATTCAAGCTAAAGATGTGCATGCACATTATCAGAATTCTTCTATCTTATTTGATCATTATCTTCCTAACGTCTGGGCAGAAAAGAAAAAAGAACAGCTAAATAATTGATTATCTCTTGTATCATATATAGTTGTTTTTATAGTATTACATCGGCAGGGCTATAGAATCATTGAATATTCAGGATGGACTTATATGTTAAAATGGCTATCGAATCCCGAATATTACCGTATTGATGAGCACGGCAAAGTAAACATCATTAAAACTTCAGAATATGCGCAATATTTGTGTAAATTGTATAGCAAACCATATCCATGTAATTCTCTAAAAATTGACTATTTCATTTCTGGAAACTTCTATTTTCAGGAAAAAGATGTTAATATAGATTTCTCGAATTTTAATAATAATTGTAAGTATGTGCGCCAAGTTTTCCAGGCTATAGATTCTTTATTAAAATAGCAGAGGGACTACCCAAATAGTCATATTTATACAATAAATTAAATTCTTTT